CGAACAAATATTGTTCGTACACTTCGAGATAAAATGACACTTCGGACACTTCTGTCGTTTCGGACAGTCATTTCTCAGATTCGAAACTGATACGAACCGGACGTATTACGCAAATGCTCTAACAGTTCCAGTGTCACTTAAAGTTTCAACTTTCAAAAATGCACTAACAAACACTGCCCCTACGCCCGTCACCCTGAAACAGAAAGTTAACAAGGCCCATGTGCCTGTAGTTCACCAACACCCTTACATCCACGGATGAATTCTTTCACAAGGACCTCTACTGCTACTACGCCTTATACCACTGACGGTAAGAACGATTCAAAGTCCAAACACTTTTGAACAGACGAAATAAACACGTCACTCAAAACTTTAATAAAGAAGTAATTATTAGCTTTCCTCGTGGATTAAGCCAATTAGCACTTTAAGGCATCAACCTAATGTCTATTTATTTAGTAGGCGCATTTCATTTAATTAGTAGGCGACTATCATTCCCGCGCTAACATAAGAATTGCTACTCCAAATTGAGACACGCGCCCTTTTATTTTCAGTATCAATAACATTAGTAGTAGATTTGCTTGTTAAATTTTATTGTTATTACCACTATTATTATTTTCGTACAACGTTTCTCCTCTGAGGATAGAATTTAGATTGTAGTCCGCCAAGTTGGCCTTGGTTTTAAACGTCCTTCGTCATACAGATTTCGACACGTTTTCCTTCACTGTTAGATAGCCAGAGCAGCAAAACGTTCACAAACGTACGAACCGTCGATCTTATAATCGGAAGCAATTTTACATCGTCATTAAATTTTTTAAATTTCTGAAGATTGAACTAAAAAAAGATCTCAATAATTTACGCATTCATATATACCATCACACATGTCATTTATAGGAGAAGGCAGAGATGATAAACTTCCACCCGCTATCCTCAATTTGGGTGACATATGTGCCCCGCGATGATATTTTCCATGTTTCAAAAACGAATAAACTTACTACTAACTAAACTAAACTAACTAACTGTATTGTCAATGTAAATGTATCTGTATATTCAATAAATTCAATGGTAGATACTAAAGCGAAAGTGCGTAAGTAAGCGACGTTACTTTATGACACCGTATTCCTCGTGTAGCAATTGGTGCGTTGAAATCATAGCGTTACAATGACACAACGCACCGGCAATGCCCATGTAGCTCTAACGCCACTTACGTACCGCAATACCCCGCCCCGCTTCGTCTCCTGGGTCCTTGTTCAATACGCGTATGTGTGCGGTTATCCACTGAAAATCAACACGTAGCACTTTCAGTGTGACGACATACGCTGAGTGGCAAACGGATTCCGTAATAGCACATTCTATTGTTCTAATTTTAGTATTAATTTATTTAGTTAATTAGTCGAATTATTTATTAATAGTCTTGTATAATTGTCCTGTGTTATGTGCCACATCACATAATGTGTGTGTACTGTGCTGTAAATTATTACCGGAATAAACAATTTTTCGTTCTTTCTTTCCGCCGCCACGCGCACCATGTGGCATGTAGTTCTAATGTATAACAATGCAGCGGCAGCGTCACTCATAGCCCTGCACTAGGGAAACCATGTATCGCGGGTGCCATGGACACACACACAGACAATCATAAATTACACCCAAACTCAAGAGAGAAATAAATGGTGGCCATACAAATAGTTCTCCCGGCCCGGGATTTGAGCCCGGGACCTCTGCGCGACTTTCCAGTATAATAACCGTTTCAGCCACGGAGGCAGTTTTATTGGCAGCTTATTTTTTTAGTGTTAATTTCTATACAACCTAAGTTTCCACAAGTAAATGAGTTATGAATTACCATTATTGGTACCTAGTAACTTGAGTTTTTTGAACATTGGCGATTGGGTAAAAACTTGGCCAATTGAAGCGCAGAGTATTCCTATTTCAAAGATTACAGTCTCTGTATTAATGGAACCCTTTGTTAGGTTATCCGATTTCCTTTGTCTACTACATTTGCGTATTTTATAGAGAAATAATAAAGATTTATTATCTTGCATCTGGTGAAATTACAGGCACATGAGACTTGTCTACTTGAGACTCGGAATGACGGGCGCGGAGGCAGTATTCTTCAAATCTTTCAATTTCAGTACCTCATTGCATTTACAAGGTGGTAGGTTATTATTGGAGGACAACCGACTCGCCCCTCCGTTGGCGCGGGAGCCCTGGCGTATGCTAGGGCGGCCGGGCGGCGTCGTGGTGAATGCTCACTGATCCCACGGCGCCGACTCAACCGGCGAGAGGCAAACCCGGGGGGGGTTTAGTGGGGTAGGCCCTCCAGTCTGGAGGGAGAGTCCCCACATATTCCCTGAGTCTCCCTGGGCTCAGGGGTATCCATAAAGATTTCCCCCCCGCCAAAAAAACAGACAGATCATTGTAGACCATATATAGAGCACAGCAACTGAAAAAAAATGCAGAGGAGGATGTACTTATAATCAAGAATTAAACTTTTAAATATTATTATACTCAATAAATTCTGAAACAGCATGATAACATCTTTCTGTTAGCAGTTTCTTTACTTTTTTTATAAATAATAGGTCGTAATTTTCGTCTACTAAAACTACGGTCATTTATTATACACTTTGATAGACATTAGAAGTGGACTAGAAGAGATCATTTGAAGCCGCCTTTAATCTTTGCGATTTAAAGCTCTGAGTGGCACTGCAACTATTATAGGCAGGCGTGTCGCTTACCACCAGAAGCATGAGTTGTACATCACGTCGCTTGGTAAAAAAAAATATCTTTATTATTCCACTCTACTAATTATAACATCTGTACCTTGCAGTTTCTGTGTCTGGCACTAAATTTGCATGGAAAACAAATTAGCAAGCGTTAATGGCACGAGCAAATGAGGCGCCATCTATTACACGGTTTTGATTGCCAAGTAGACGCTGGCGTTTATTTACATCTGTTTTACATTCCACGTTGGGGGCAAATTGAATAGTTTACTTACTGAATACGTTATTTATATCTCACTGGAATTGTAATAAATTTATTTGTGTAATAAAAAAATAGACACAGTATTACTAGCAGTATCTAGAGCTCCTTGTCAAAAAGTATTTCTAACGGTTTAGAAGGGTAAGGGTGCTGATGAAAGTATAGACGCATGGGACTTGTCAACTTTAGGTTTTAGGGTGTCGGGCGCAGAGGCAGTGCGCCTCAGATCTTTGTAATACAAAGCTCTAAGTGACAATACAGCAGTTGTTGGTATACGTATCGCTTATCATACGCACGACTTATTCCTCCCGTCAGTTGATTGATATCATAAAAAAATCCAAAGATGGAGATTATGTTTTTTTTTTTTTTTAATAAATGGCACAATAATTATAAATAATTATAAATAAATAAATAAATAACGCACACACTCAACATAGCCCCGCACTAGGGAAACCCTGTGTCGCGGGTGCCATGGACACACACATAGACAACCACAAATTACACCCAAACTCTCGAGAGAAATAATTGTAGGCCATACAACTATTTCTCTCGGCCCGGGAATCGAACCTGGGACCTCTGCGTGGCAGTCCGGCATGGTAACCGTTCGGCCACGGAGGCAGTAAATGTATATCGTTGCTTTGGATGTACAGGGTATCGACTCAATAATTTGTATTTTTTACTTCACAATGCAGTCGTATTACAAAAATCGAGATCTTTCTAATGAACAAGGTCTTATTACGATCAGACGTGAAATGGCGCGAGAAGCAGGGTAGTTAGTATATCTGAACTTTTTGCACATTTTGGCCCCAAACGTTGATCAACACAGTCCTTTTACACGCGAAGCTATAGTCGTCATCGTTTGTTGAACAGGGTATGAAAACTATAATTTTAATAATATAATCTCAGTACAGAATACTAAAAAAACCGACTAAGTTTCATTGAAATATGCCACTCTACAGGACTTGATACTGGAGATAATAAAAATAGGTTCTCACTACGACACTACTCAAAGTATATCGAGGGAAAAACGCCTTGAATTGGAGAAATAGCAAAATCAACTAAATAATTGCTAAAAGCAATTGCTCCTAAATTAAAGTTAGGCGCTATTTATAAAAATGAATCTTCACGCGTGAACAGCCATCCTTAGGCGGATGATTTCCTTCAAAATGGAATGGGACCACTATGGAAGTACCCCCTTTCCAACAAAAAAAGAATCATGAAAATCGGTTCACAAATACCGGAGTTATCGCGTAACATACATACAAAAAAAAAACAAAAAAAAAGAACATACAGTCGAATTGAGAACCTCCTCCTTTTTTGAAGTCGGTTAAAAACACAGCATGGTTCGTTATAACGTAAGTGTATTTTAAAAATATTTGTTTCTAGAACGCAGACGATTATTATAGTAATACCTTTTTTGGGATTTTTTTTTTCATTGAATTATCACGATAATCTACTACTACAGAGTATTTTTTGAGATGCTACTAGGTTCCTCAAAGATGTATTTAATTGAATGTTATTCCTTCTTTCTTTAAAAGTGTTAAGCATGAATAGTTTAAAACTCTGAATCACAAATATTCTATGTTCAAAATGGTAATATTACAGACCTCTCTGAACAATTTCAAGATTTTGTCACAACTATGGAACTGAATAGGAATAAGAAGTATTCGAAAGTACTGTTAAATTTGTAGGCTTTAAATACATATAGGTGATGAGAACTAAATAACAATAGCGGCTGAAATAATACTAGAAGAAATTTAAAAATCGCTCTCCTGAAAAATTTGTATTGTTGTAGAGAATACCCTGTTCATCTGGACCAACAGTATAATGATCAAGAAACTGCTCATTCATTGTGCCCTTGAAAAGGGTCAAATAACATGGGTCGTGATACAGTTATTCAAACAAAGAATTTTGCATCCTATCGGACTGGACCGAGGCAGAGATAATAAAACACGTTGCGGTCTGGTGGTATGTCAATAACCTAAAGTTGAGATTCCAATCGGGATCAGGGCAACATCTTCGGTACTTACCGTTGCCAGAAGCAGCGCCAAAAGGAATCTCGTCCTCACCGCCATGATGTCAGACATGCGATGTCATATTAGCTGATCATGTTCGTCATCTGGAACAATGCAGAAACATATTCATTTGTGGTAGTTAAGTGGTTACACAATCTTGGTAACAGTGATCCCTCTTTATAGAAAGAGAGAACGATCGTCTCCTCTCAGGATAACGGTGATTCTGGGACCCTTCACACTATGAAGATTTATGGTAGCAGTAGAGTTCTTTGTGAAAGAGCTGTTCAGGAAAGTACTGCTACTATATATCCGCTCACGAGATACATACAGGCGTAGACGCATGCACACCTAGAGGTGCCGGTGATGATTTTATACCGATTTATCGGATATCAAAGTTATAACAGGTAAAAGAACTAATACTAATTGCTATTTCGGTAACTACTCTAGCAAACCATAAAGTTTTGTATGCCTGGGTCTGTCATTTAAAAAAAAAAACAACTTCAAAAATACGTCACGACAATCGTGTGTGTTATTGTTTGGGCTGGTGATTTCGGTGTTTATTTATTGAAAACATACCGTAAGTAGCGTTTTTTAAGTTTACCCTGAATATAAATGTTTATAAACTATACTTTAAGGAGTAATTTCATGGTAAACGTTAGAACCATTCAAACCGAATATTATCATAATTATCCAAGTACACCAAAAATTTCATTAGTGCTTTTTAAGTGCAGGATTGGCGGTGTATTACTGCATTTTATTTGAGATGTTTATGTTGGTAGTACGGAGGGTATTTATTTAGCAATGCAGAATAATAATTTTTATTTATAAAAACTTGTATTTAAACTGAATCCTTTTCTATTTTGCGAAACCAAATAGCCGCCATTTTGCGGTAGGAGGAGCGCATCGCGTGAGCGGTTAAATATCTGTCTCCAAGGTCCCGGTTTTGAAAGGGATGCTAGTGAATCTACAAGTGCAAGTGATTTCTCAACTTTGTTTATTACGTACTGACAGGCGTCTGATTGCCGACGCAACGCATGGTATGATATCGCTATCACTTATTTTGTTACTGTCAAATTCTATACAACCTAAGTTACTATAAATAAATGGGAGAAGAATTATGAATTACTTGTTTTTACTCAAGTCTTTATGTACACTATCGAAGCCTGGCCAATTATAGCATGGGGTATTCCTATCAAAGACTATAATAGTCTCTGCAAACTCTGCATTAATGGAACCTTTGTTGCATTACCCAACTTCCTATGTCTACTACATTTGCGTATTTTATAAAGATTTATTATTTTCCATCTGATGAAAATACTAAAGTACTGAAGAAAAAAATGCAGTTTGAAGTGTCGTGGGTTGTATATTTAAATGAAGTGGTTCACATGTAGAACAACACAAGTAACTTTCATTCACGACTTTTTTGACGTTGCGACAGATAGTCGCAGCTTCAAATGATTCTGTCGTGCAAACGTCAAGGCGACTGCCGTGAACGGATAAATTATGGTCACGGTCTAGTGGTAACAGCTAGGCACGACAGTCATTCGATAAAACAAACATCCACGACACAGTCACGACAGCCAGTCGTGATATGGGAACTGGATAGATGCGACAGTCATCCAATGATAAATAAAACGGACCGACCTAACGGGAACACGCCCTCAGGGTGACGAGCACAGTGGCAGTGTCGTTCAGGTCTTTACGATTTATAGCTCTGACTGGCACTGCAACAGCGATGGGTAGGCGTGCTGCTTATCATCAGGCGCACAACAGTAAGTACCATCATTTCATAACATGAAAAAAGATAGGGAAACCCTGTATCGCGGGTGTCATGGACAACCACAAATTACACCCAAACTCACGAGAGAAATGAATGTAGGCCATACAAACATTTCTCCCGGCCCGGGAATCGAACCTGGGACCTCTGCGTGGCAGTCAGGCATGGTAACCATTCGGCCACGGAGGCAGTTTATAGCTTAATAATAAATTATAACTTTTATAAAAAAACCGACCTCAAAAGTTTGTGGAACCATGTCTATTTACCAAGTTTTGATGAGGTCGGTTAGCGAAAAGTGGGTGAAATCCAATAAACCGGATTCATTTTCTAATTTGCAACCTTTAGAGATTGAATATTTTCCTCAAATTTAATAAAGACCAATACTGAGGTACCCCTTTTCCAACAAAAATATAATCATTGAAATTGCGTAACAGGTTTATTCCAACACAAAAAAGATTTAGTCGAATTGAGTACCCTTCCGTTTTTGAAGTCCGGTAAAAATAAAGTCCACTGATGTGCTTCTGGAGAAAACCGACATTCCGTACTAGGCCAGAATAGGAACCACGGTATAACCCCCATGAGTGTTCTCGGCGTATCAGATGTGATTTTTTTACGTCATATTTTAAATTATGAGGTTACCAAAATGGTTAGAGGTAAACAACCTTTAAGTTAAGCCAGCCTGGGAGCTGTAAAGGTATCTGACTGGGTGACGAAACATAGATTTCTCATAGATGGCGCTACGGCTAAAATGTCGTTGAAAAACCAAATACAAAGATACGTGCCAAGCACATTGAAAAATTCGTGAGGTTCGCTGGTTTCGTGGCTTAGTTGGTATAGCGACTGACACGGTATGCTAGAAGACGTCGGTTCGAATCCGGCCGGATCGATAGAATTTTTTCTGAGTGTTCGATCTTTGTATTAATAATTATGACCTTTAAGTGCCATATAGCATTTTCTACTACAAAGCGTTTTAAGCGTAGGCCACACCGCGAAATAAGCTAAGCTAACTTAGCTTAGCTCACGTACCCAGGGCATCTAATCATACTTCAGTTCACACTGCGACCTAAGCTAACCGAGCTAACTAAACTAACCCAACGATCCCGCTAAGCCATATGAATATGTCGCCCTTTGCCGTCCTTCACACCCGCACGTATACGTATACGCGTTTTCCTAACTTAACATTTTTTATTTGACCTTAAGCAATTTTAAGGTCAAATAAAAAATGATGGCTGAAAAACAAACGACGATAGGACTCAATGTCTTTTACCGTTGCGTATTTTTTCGTATTAAAAAGCAATGTTTGTAGAAACATCTAAATTCGACAATATGTTAAAAGACATAAGGTACTTTACCTCTCACTTGCAGATAAATAAAGAGAAAAACAAGCACAATGCCTTAGGGCGCGGACCTTTTACGAAAATGTTTACTTCTAATTAGATATATAACTTCAAATTAATTAATACATAACTTTTATTTACTTTAACTGCCTTTAACGGTTGTTATTATTATTATTATATAAGATAAACTCGTAAACACGTAGGCAATTGTCGACTTTATGTAATTTGCATAAAAATGTTAAATCTACCCAGGGTTCTGAGCTAATCGAACATCTGTATAGATTTTTTGTTTTATAAGTCACAAGTCCGCCCCACATGGAATACTGCTGCCATCTTTGGGCGGAAGCTTCCGCATACCAGCTCGGGCCCTTTTACATGGTTCAAAGATTGTTGACGATCCTGTGTTTACAGACGTTATTGAACCATTGTCTTCGAGGAGAGACTTTGCCTCCCTATGTCCGTTCTATCGCCTGTACAATGGCCAATATTCTGAAGAATTGTTTGACATGATGCCAACAGCAATGTTTTATCACCGCACCGCTCGCCACCAGCAGGGAGTCCATCCTCACACTCTGGAACCGAGTCGATCTCGTACAGTACAGTTTCAAAGGAGCTTCCTCCCGTGTACAATTAGGTTGTGAATGAACTTCTCTGTCGGGGTTTTCTCACTGGAATACAGCATGGAGTCCTTCAAAACGGGGTTGAGAAGGCTCCTACAGGGTTGGCAATGCGCTCGTGATGTTACTGGTGTTGCAGGCGTTCATAGTCGACGGTGACCGTTTTCCATCAGGCAGGCAAAAAAAAAGGCCGTATGCTTCTGCATGCGGGACCGGTGGAAAGAGAGCTTGGCGGATCCCCCCTATGGCGCTCGTACCATAGAGGCGATCCGCCCTGTCCTCGTAGAGTGGGTAAACCGGTCCCACGGGCCACTGTCGTATCACCTTGTGCAGGTGCTGACCGGGCACGGCTGCTTCGGTCATTACCTGCACAAGGTGGCGAGGAGGGAACCGTCCCCGTCGTGTCACGAGTGCGGCGCTGCGGATGACACCGCGCAGCACACCCTAGAGGTGTGTAGACGGGGACTGTATGTCACTCGTCTGGGGGGCGGATCGGAGGACAACCGACTCGCCCCTCCGTCGGCGCGGGAGCCCTGGCGTAAGCTAGGGCGGCCGGGCGGCGTCGTGGTGAATGTTCACTGATCTCACGGCGACGACTCAACCGGCGAGAGGGAAACCCGGGGGGGTTTTAGTGGGGTAGGCCCTCCAGTCTGAAGGGAGAGTCCCCACATAACCCCTGAGTCTCCCTGGGCTCAGGGGTATCCATAAAGATTTCCCCTCGTCAAAAAAAAAAGAAAAAAAGGCCGTGTGCTTCTCCAAAAAAAAAGTTTACCACAACTTTACGACATAGAACAACGTTTCACAAAATGGACCGAATATGTTAGTCATATGCAAAAATGTACGATGGACACATTCCGCATAATTGGGACCATACAGTCGTGCGCCTGGTGGTAAGCAAATCTCCTGTCCATAACAGTTGCAGTGCCATCCAGAGCTTTAAACCGCAAAGATTTCAGGTGGCTCTGCTACTGTACCCGTCACCCTAAGACATTAGGTCACAAGTCACATGTGCCTGTAATTTCACCAGCACCCTTACCCTTCTAAACCGGAACCCAGTAATGCTCACATTACTGCTTGGCGGCAGAAATAGGTAAGGTGGCAGTACTTCCCTGAAAGAATTATTTCCCAAGGAGCGCTACTGCTGCTACGCTGCCATGTACTAGGAACTTATTTTACAGTAAGAGAGTACATTTTATTTCTAAAAGTGGGAGTGGTCGGATCGGACGTGGTCCAGTACACAGTAAGAATTATAATAATTCGCGACCCGCGCGGCAATAGCCGCTGCGCTTAATGACTATGGGTTCCCAGCAACTCATAGCCAATGAACTGCTGGCGTTCATCCAACACGCCGTCGAC